AACTCTCTTGTTGTAAAGTTTGGCAGGGCCCCCAAATGCGCTTTTTAGCGCCAACTTCAGACTCTAACGATATTTATCAAGTTCAAACAATGTTCAAACTTGATACCTGTTACACTCTTCGTCAACATATCTGCAGGATTCTCAGTGGTTTTAATCTTTTGCACTCTGACTCCACCTTCTTCAATTATTTCCCGCACAAAATGGTACCGCACATTTATATGCTTTGTTCTGGCATGATATACTTGGTTCTTTGCTAAATGAATAGCACTTTGGCTGTCACAAAACACTGTAACATGTTTTTGACAAAATCCCAAGTCATCCAGTAATCCTTTTAACCAGATTGCCTCCTTAACAGCCTCAGTGATGGCCATGTATTCTGCCTCTGTTGTTGACAGAGCAATGGTAGACTGTAAAGTCGACTTCCAACTAACTGGTGCATTTGCAAGAGTAAACACATAACCAGTAGTTGATCGTCGTTTATCCAAATCTCCTGCATAGTCTGAATCGCAATACCCAACTATATGTTGACCAATATCATTATTTCTTTGAAAGATCAATCCAAAATCTAAGGTTTTCAAGATATACCTTAGAATCCATTTCACGGCTTGCCAATGTTCTCTGCATGGATCATGCATATATCTGCTCACGATCCCAACTGCATGTGAAATGTCAGGTCTTGTACACACCATTGCATACATCAAGCTACCAACCGCATTTGAATAAGGAACCTTTGACATGTAATCACGTTCCTCTTTCGTTTTTGGAGATTGTGAAGCACTAAGTTTGAAATGAGAGGCAAGTGGTGTACTCACAGGTTTGGCTTTGTCAGTCATGCCAAATCGCTCTAGTACTTTATTCAAATATTGCTTCTGGGTCAAGCACAATGTGCCTCTCTTTCTGTCTCTCGTTATTTCCATGCTGAGAATCTTCTTTGCTTCACCGAGATCTTTCATTTCGAACTCCTTGCTGAGTTGGAACTTCAATCTACTTATCTTTCTTCTATCTTTTGAAAAAATTAACATGTCATCTACATAAAGAAGAAGATAAATAAATGATCCATCAGGTAGCTTACAAAAATACACACAGTGATCGAAACTGCTCCTGGTGTACTTTTGGCTGGTCATGAATTAATCAAATCGTCTGTACCACTGTCTTGGAGATTGTTTCAATCCATACAACGATTTGTTCAACTTGCATACCCAATATTCTTTCCCAGCAACCTTAAATCCTTCGGGTTGAGTCATGTGGATTTCCTCATCCAAATCACCGTGTAAGAACGTCGTCTTTACATCCATTTGAACTAGTTCCAAATCATACTGCGCTACCAAGGGCAACAAAATACGAATAGAGGAATGTTTTACAACATGAGAAAATACCTCATTGTAATCAATTCTTTCCTTTTGAGCATAGCCCTTGGCTACCAATCTTGCCTTGTAGCGGACGTCATTACAATTGGGAAATCCTTCTTTCTGAGTATAGACCCACTTGCAACCAATTGCCTTCTTTCCCTTCGATAGTTCAGCTAGCTTCCATGTGTGATTTGCTTCAAGGGAATGCATTTCCTCGTCCATGGCTTTCTTCCACTTTTTTTTTTCATAACAATGCACTGCATCAAGAAAAGTTTGTGGTATACCTTCTTCAATAACAGGAAGTGCATAGGCTACCATACTTTGGAATCGAGTAGGTTTCTGAATTTCTCTTATTGGCTTCCTAACTGCAATTGGTAAATCTTGTTGTTGTTGATGTTCTTGGGTTAAAACCTCTTTTTCTCCGGGCTCTTCTTCGGTACAAGAACCATCATCGTCAGTTGGTTGATCATCTACAAGTTGAGTCATAGATGTCTGGAACTCCACCTCATTGGAAGAACACTCCACCTGCTGGCGGGTATTCTCTGTCTGCTGCTTGGTTACTTTCTTCAACATCTCTGATTCGTTGAAATTAACATCCCTGCTAAAGATTATCTTTTTCATCTCCGGGCACCATAAGCGATATCATTTTACTCCAGATGATATCCCTATGAAGATAGCTTTTCTCGCCCTTGGATCTAGCTTTGATTCTTTTACGTGATAATATGCAATAGATCTAAACACACGTACAGAATCATAATCATTTTCAGGTTTGCCAAACCATACCTCCAAAGGCGTTTTGCCTTTAAGTGCAGCTGATGGTAGTCGATTGATCAAATGGCTTGCATATGTGACCGCTTCAGCCCAGAATTGTTTGCCCAAATTAGCATTGGACATCATACACCGAACTTTCTCCAGCAAAGTCCAATTCATGCGCTAGGCCACTCCATTTTGTTGTGGCGTATCCCGAACTGTGAAATGTCAGAAGATATCTTCTTTTTTGCAAATATCGAAAAAAGGGTCATTTCGATATTCCGCACCATTGTCAGAGCGAAACACTTTAACATTCATCCCGGTCTGGTTCTCCATTGTTTTCTTCCAATCGAGGAATTTTCTGAAAGCTTCATCTTTAGTTCGCATGGGATATACCTATATTCTCCTGGAAAAATCATCAACAAACGTTATAAAATAATGGTTTCCTCCCAGAGAAGTTGTCTTGGTTGGTCCCCACACGTCTGAGTGAATGTAATCCATAATGCCTTTAGTATTATGGATTGTTGTTCCAAAATTCACTCGCGTTTGCTTTCCCAGAACACAGTGCTCGCAAAAATCAAGTTTGCATGTCTTTGCACCCTTTAATAATCCTTGTTTTGCTAGAGTTTGCAAGAATTTTTCCCCAGCATGCCCAAGCCTCATGTGCCAAAGCTTGGTCATTTCCTCTTCTTTATCTGGTGCTGATACAGCTGCTGCTACACCACCTACTGTGCTGCCCTGAAAGTGATACATATTATTTTTCCTTATAACTTTCATTATGACAAGTGCTCCCCAGATCACTTTTAGAATCTCATTCTGAATGCTGATAGAATGACCTTTAGACTCCAAAACCCCCATTGATATGAGATTTTTGGCAAATTTCGGTATGTACCGAACCTCTGTCAGCACTTTAATTGTTCCATCGTGGTTCTTCAGATAGACTGAACCTACTCCAATTATCTGGCAAGGTTGGTTGTCAGCTAGATAGACAACTTCGCCGTCAATATTTTCAAAATTGACAAACCACTCCTTCCTGGAACACATGTGGAATGAACATCCTGAGTCCAGCAACCAGTCGTCACTGTAGGTCACCGATGAGGCACAAGCTAATGAATAATCTGATTCATCATTATCAGCAACACATGCTTCAGCTACCGCTTTCCCCTTTTTCTTTTGTAGCTTTGGACAGTCTTTCTTCCAGTGTCCTTTTTCATGGCAAAAGACACATTCATCTTTTGCTACTCTGCCTCTTGACTGGGATCTACCTCTTCTCGTCAGCTTGTATTTTTTGTTACGACCCCGAGCATAGTGGACTTCACCAGTCGAACTCCTATGTTCTAACTTATCCTTTTTCTTGATCTCGTTAGAATACAAAACAGTAGTAACTTCTTTAAAGGAAATTGTTTCTTTCCCAGTCAGCATACTAACAATTATATGTTCATATTCATCAGGGAGTGATGCTAGCAGTATCAACGTCTTATCAATATCATTTATCTTCTCATCAAGATTCAGCAAATCAGTAACTAGAGAATCAAATCTAGTTATGTGTTCGTTCATGGTGGTACCTGAAAAATACTGGAAGCGATACAACTTCGTCTTCATGTAGAGCTTATTTTCTGTGCTCTTTTTCATGAATTTGTCCTCCAATTCGTTCCATAATTTGTGCGCCATCGTCTCTCTCATAAATGGATACTTCTGCTCCTTGGAGAGACATAGCCGGATTGTACCACACGCCAGGCGGTTGATCCTCGTCCAGTCTTTATCATCAACATCCTCCGGTTTGTTCTCTGCGAGCACTCCGTCCAGCTCTTGTTGGAACAAGATATCCAACACCTCGCATTGTCACATACCAAAATTATTGGTACCGTCGAATTTTTCGACGTCGAATTTGGCATTCGAGACCATCATTCTTGATGACGACGTCACCAACGACTTTGAATCTGAAGTTGATTTTTCACCGGATTTTTCCGCCATTCCTGCTCCAGAGTTTGATTAACATAAAAAATTACACAATAAAGGCAGTTTAACCGAGACGCTTTTCTGATGTGGAAGATCAGTTTAACTGCGACCACATAGCATACTCAGCAACCAAGGCTTTGATACCAATTGTTGCGAAAAACAGGTTAGCCCCACACAAGGTAATTGGAGGAGACACGAGGCTCACTTAAAATCCAATTTCCTTAGACCTTTTATAGTCTTTTTGACAGAATTTTCCCTTGCAAAATTAAAGCACAATAAATAATCGCAAAATAACCAACACACCAGAGCAAAATAAAGAACACCAAATTTAACGAGGTTCGACAAAATTATGCATATCTCCTCGGACCCCAACCAAAATTATATTATGAAAGAAGATAAGAAATACAATACAATTAGAATATGAGATTGTGTTGTGGGGTGAATCAAACATCAAGGGCAGGGGGTGAATTTACAAGAAAATCCAACCCCCCACCCAAACCCACAACCGATGTGGGATGGAGATAGCCAACATTTGTTGACTTTTCTTCACTATTTATCTCAGTTTTTTTCCTCAAAAAATCAAATCAAATACTTATTTTTTATATTATATTTAAAAATAAATTTTACATTCAAAACATCCCATCAACGCCTATTATATAACATCATACAACTATTCAAATTTCAAATTTTTATTATTCAAATCTCAACTCAAAATCCAAACTCTCAGACAAACACACCCGGAGAGAATATATATAATTCAATAAATTTATAACATGTGACTGAAAAAATTCAATTTGAAAAAGTAGTGTGGGTGTTGGTGTTAAATCAACAATAATTCAATTTTCATCAATTTTGCCTTATAATATATCGATATATTTATATGTATATATATATATATATCATTGGACTCTGACTTTCTTAACTCCTCAAGGTGACATCAATTTGAAAAAATTGCAATTATATATATATATATATATATATGAAGAAAAGTGCAGCAGATGATGAGATGGAGGGCAAATCAATGGAGGCGAATTCCTCATCCAGGGGTGGATGGAAATCCGCCATTTTCATCATCTGTATGTTCTTCCTCTCTAATTTAATTTGACGTTTCTCTAGATTTTTTGAAATGCATTTGACTGATTTCTATTGTGAGCAGTTGTGGAGGTCGCTGAGCGATTTTCGTATTATGGAGTCGCCGGAAATCTGTTCGTTTACATGACGACGGTGCTCCGCCTTCCTACCGCCACTGCCGCCAAGAGCGTCAACACCTGGCGAGGCGTCTCCGCCCTATTCCCTGTCGCCGGCGCCTTACTCGCCGACTCCTACTTCGGCAGATTCAAGACGATCCTCCTCTCATCCGTTATTTACCTAACTGTATGGTTAATTCCTTGCTTTTTGATCTTCGTTGTGTTAATTAGGAACATTAAATCAAACCTGAAAATCCAATGGAATAGTAATTTCTTCATAATTTTGAGAATGATTCGCAACTGTTGATTAACTGTTAGATCTTCGTACATGGATTGCTGTTGTTGAATTAACCGTATGTAGAAGATGTTCGTACTTTTTGAGCGTGAATTGGTAGCTGTAGTTCGTTAATCGTAAGATTTCCCCAATTTTGAGCATCGATCAGTTTCTTCTGTTGCTTAATCGTAAGATTCTTCTCGATTTCAAGCATCAGTTTCTGCTGTTAGTTAAATCGTAAGATTTCCTAGTTTTGAGCACCAATTCCTTCTGTTGATTAATCGTAAGATTTTTCTCAAATATTGATTAATTAATTTCAATTTGGCAGGGGTTAATTGCGCTGACGGTGGCGGTTTCTGCAGTTCCGCCGCAGCTCCGCCGCACCGTCTTCTTCGTAGCGCTTTACATCCTGGCGGTCGGCGAGGGCGGTCACAAGCCGTGCGTGCAGACGTTCGCCGCCGACCAATTCGACGAGACGATCGCCGAGGAGAAGGCGGCGAAGAGCTCCTTCTTCAACTGGTGGTACGTCGGAATCGTCGGCGGCGCCACGGCGGCGATCCTCGTCGTCATATACGTCCAGACCTACATCAGCTGGAGCCTCGGCTTCGGGATGCTCACGGCGGCCGTGGCTGCGGCGCTCGTCGTGTTCCTGATCGGGAGCGGCGGTTACCGCCGCCAGGCCCCCGTGGGGAGCCCGTTCACGAGGGTAGCGCAGGTAATAGTCGCCGCCGCCAGGAAGAGGCGGCTGTCGGAGAGGGAAGCGCGCGGCGTCTACGCTGAAGAGAGTTATGATATTATTCAGGACGGCGCGGCTCAAGCCTTGGCTCCGACCGCCAAATTCAGGTATTGTTAAAAATTTCCTTACATAGCTACCTTCTTTCAACAGAAGGGAGTTCATTATTTCATTAAATGATACTCCTTCCATAGTTTTTTTTTTAGGCCATCATTTAAATTTATTTTCGATTATTTAGTAATAAAATACTATTTCTGTCATGATCTCATTTCTTTTTTAGATATTAATTTTTAAATATTAATTATTATATAAAAATGTAATAATAAAAAAATAATAAAAATATTTTTATTAATATTTTATAATACTATAAATATAAAAATATTAAAAACCAATAAGCATAATATATAATAGCATAATATAAATGTTATAAATAAATTAATATTTTACTATTGATCTCAGAATATGAGATATACCGTACAACACACCTATAAAATATATATATATATATATTATCTCTCTATTTTTTTTATTTTTTTATTTTTTATTTTTATTTTTTATGTGTTGATTAGACAGTGAATCACATTAACTCGTCCTGTTGTTTTAATAAATAAATGATTTATTAAGGTGAACTGTATTATATGATTATTGGGGAGTAGAGCTAATTCATCATAATTAAAATTGAAATTAGTGGTGATAGTGATAGTGGCACTCCATATTTCTCTTTTATTAATTTCAAAGATAGTTTTGACTTCTCTTTTACTAATTTCTCTTTAGGTATGTTTCGTTTGGTTGAGTTTGAAAAAATTTGGTTTGAGTTTGGTATTAAAATAATATTTAATGAGATATTTGTGAGAGAAAAAAATATACTCTATCTGTCCCACATACCATGTCCACGTTGCCGTTTCTATCCGTCCCACATACCATGTTACTTTTGTTTTTTGGAAAATGATTATACACTTTAATCTCATTTTAAACATTTTAATTTTATTTTTTTAAAATTTTAATTAAAATAATTAGTTATCTTAATCTTAATCTACAATGATATATTATAGTATAATTATTTTTACTAATACATTCTTAATTATCTACTAATTACAACCCTCATAAAATACTGTGTCTATAGTATAGCAGACACGGTATGTGGGATGGAGAGAGTATTTTTTTTCAGGAAACGCAGAGTCCAAATAGTAAAATTTGGAAAAATTTGTGTAAAGAAACATACATCCATTAAATTTACTTCACTTTTTTTTAGTCTATATATTAAATTTACCATATTATTAATTTTAAAAGATTAAAAATTAATATTTAATTATTATACTTCGTTCAATAATTATTATCCATAAATGTTGCTCCATCCGTCTCAAACACTCTGCAATATTTCATTTTTGGTACGTCCCAAACACCCTGCAACATTTCTAAAATAGGAAATAATTAATTATACTTAATCCCTACCACACACTTTATCACCTCACATCATCCAAATAAAAAAATAAAATATATAGTTCTCTTCTCCATCACATCACCTAATTTCTAAATTATCTCACTTAATACTACATACCTAAAAATCCGTGCCAAAACCAAATGTTTCACAATGTTTGGGACGGAGGGAGTATTATTTTTATTATATTTTTCCTCTCTATATTTTTTTCTAAATTTCTAATTAATTTTTTTTAAAATACATTCAACTATTTTTTTAATTTTATCACTTTTTCAATAAAATATTCAGTTTTCGCGTCGGACTCAAGGTGTCCTAATTTTATCGGATGAAAAGAGTATATAATACATATCTTTATATTATAAACTAACAAAATATTAAGGGTGTGTTTGTTTTTTTTTATGTTAAATAAGAAATATTACTATTCATCAATATAGTTTTTAATAAAAATACTCTTTTTGTCCAATTTGAAAGTTTTTTAAATACATTTGGAGAGGAATTAAAGAAATAATATTATTTTAATTGTGGCGAGTAATTAGAAAAAGTATAAATATAATTTTGTTCTTATTTATAGAAAAAAAATTGAGGTAGTATTGAAATGGTTACTTTCTAATTAAATAATTTAAAATAGAAAGTGGATAGAGAAAATATTATTTTTTCTTACAAAATATCATATCAAAAAAAATTTTAAATTATAACTCAAATCAACAGTATCAAATCACAACCAAGCAAACCCTGAAAGTTTATTTTATTTATATTGTATTTTAGTTTTTCTACTATTCAACTATAATAGTCCCTCCGTCCCATCCATTTTTTTATTTCGGTCTGTTCCAGATCATTTGTGTTTTTTCTTTTCAAAAATATAATTATATATTTTAATCACATTATAAATTTTATAATTTATAATTTTTTTATTCTTAATTAAATTATTTAATTATGTTAATTTTAATTTATAATTATTTTTACTAATATATTTTTTAATTACTTATTAATTATACTTAGCAAAATTTTTGTATATAAACATTAAAAAAAAAAAAAAAATTGGTATGAAAGATGTACTTGTTTCTAATCAAATATAATATTTCATTTTCAAAAATATTAATTTAAATCAGTATTTTGCAATTCCCCAATTACTCACCATTGCAAAATATTTTGTTTACACACAATTTTGATCATTTGACTATTGAATTTTTTAAGAAAATATACCATCAAATATTAAATTTTCTATTATTATCAAAATTTTCAAAATTTTCTTATATAAACGAAGTATTTATGATTGTCACGTGATTAAGGGTGTTTGAATTTATATTTCACTTTATATTTAAAAAAAATTTATATCTCAATTTTATTTTTAGTGTTTTTGCAAAATATTTAATACTCCTTTTGTCCATTAATAATCTTTTTATTTATTTTTTCACACGAATTTAAGTATATTAGTATTTTATCGAAATATGGTACAAATGACATATATAAAGACAATTTTGCTATTTTTTGTGAAAAAATAATAATGTGACGATAAAATAGAAATATTTTTATATTTAGGTGAATATAAATTTACTTAAAAAAATAAAAAAAAATTGAATGGACAAACTAAAATAGAAAAATAAAAAAATAAAAAAATTTTAAGCGGACCGAAGGCTGTATTAAATGTTTAGTTATAATGATCATATTTTGTACATACCCAAATAAACACATTCTAAATCATACTACCGAGCACACAAACCAATACATATTTATATAATTCAAACAAACTAATAAATTACAGACATTCACTATTTTTAAATTTTTTTTCATATATTTTTCAAAAAAATTAATACACTACACACATTCACTATTTTTATATTACCTACACAATTTCCTATATTTTACGTAAAAAAAAAAAATTTCTTTTCCAACAATGTCATAAAACAAACACACCCTATTATATGAAGTTTGTTTACTCGTTTTTTTCTCCTTTTTAACATTTGTTGTTTTAAAAATATATAATTACTAAATATGATATTTTGAAATAAATAAAAAAATAAAACAAGTGTATAATATAATACTTTTTAAAAAGTTAAATAATAAAACATAGATAAAGAAATTACAATATGAAAGATATTTCATATTGATTTTAATTTGATTATTTTTTAATCAAAAAGTTGTACCAAGACATATTAACCCGAAAGGTGTAATAATAAAAATTGAATAATTTTTAATTTCATTAATTTTAAGAAAAACAAATATGTATATATCATTTGAAATATGAATATTGTAAATAAAAAATAATTAAATAATACGATATAATATTGTATTGTATACAAGTGCGGATCCACCTTTGGTGGAATGGTGGCAAATGTCACTAATGATTTTATTATATCTAAAGAAAATTTTTATGATTTAATAAATATGCTACCACTAAAAAATTGTAGTGCCTCAACTTAAAATTTAAAACGGCATCATTATAAAAAAAAAAAAAAAATAAAAATAAAAAAAAAAATTAAATAGATTATTTAAAATTGAAAATATTATCAATACCCAAATAATTAATTTATATTTTAAAACATACAGTGTGTTTGTTTGGTGGTTTAGATTTTGAGTTGTGATTTAAATAGTAAAAATTTTGAATTTGAATAGTTGTATGATGTGATATAAATAGGTGTTGATGTGATGTTTTGAATGTAAAGTTAATTTTTAGTATAATATAAAAAATATAAAATAGGTGTTTGATTTGATATTTTGGAAAAAAAAAAAAATGATAGAATAGTGTATTTAGGAGAGAATCCCCCAAACAAACACACCCAATATTATATTATTATTATTTTTTAATAAATCGAATCTTATAATATATTTTATTTTTAAATTTATATATGGTAGAACCATTGTACAGGTAGGTAGAGTGAAAGAAAGTAAATTTGCATGCAGGTACTTAGGGAAAGCAACGTTGATGGACGAGGAGGATGAGAAGGAGAAAAAGAATAGAAACAGGAATCCATGGAGGCTCTGCTCCACAACCCAAGTCGAAGAAGCAAAGCTAGTCTTCCAACTGGTCCCCCTCTGGCTGACCTGCCTCATGTTCGGCGTCGTCATCGCGCAGCTCGCCACCTTCTTCACCAAGCAAGCCACCGCCATGGACCGCTCGATTCTCAACTCCCAAATCCAAATCCCCCCGGCCTCCTTCCAAGTCTTCACCGGCCTCACGATCCTTGTCTCCGTCCTCCTCTACCAACGGTTCCTCGCCCACAGGATAACCACCCTCCAGAGAATCGGGATCGGTCTAGCCATCTCCATACTCACCATGGTCGCGGCTGCCCTGGTCGAGTCCGGGCGGGTCTGCGTTGCCCGGCACCACGGTCTGCTCGACAAACCCAATGCCGTTGTCCCCATGGCTGCATGGTGGCTGGTTCCGCAGTACGTCCTGTGTGGGGTGTCGGACGTGTTCACGGTGGTGGGACTGCAGGAGCTGTTCTACGATCAAATGCCTGTAGGGATGAGGAGTGTCGGGGCTGCTGCTTATATTACGGTCACCGGGGTGGGTAGCTTCTTGAGCAGCGGTCTGATTGCGATTGTGCAAGCTGTGACCGCCGACAAATGGCTCGCCGGCGACAATCTTAACAGGGCCAATCTTGCATGTTTCTATTGGCTTTTGGCAGCTATGAGTGCTGTCAATTTGTGTGGGTATGCCTATGTTGCCGCGAGGTTTTTGCAAGTTTAGGGATACGATGAAAATGGACACTGAAAGAAGGTAAGGTTAAGGTAGTCGGGTTGGGCTAGTTTATCGGATTCGAATATTATTGACCAATTTGGAGGGAAAGGTGGATCCAGAACAGGATCTATGCAATTGGGATTAGGATTTGATATTACAAAATACATTTAAAATCAAATTGAACTAAATGAAACAAACAAAATGAAGATAATGTATGTATTGTATTGGCAAGAATGTTAATGCACCTTACCTCGGTCCTAATAGCGATCTGAAATTGTCAACAAGATAGTAATCCTTTCTTCCCTCCTGTTAGAGCTGGCAAAATTGATCCGACACAAACTCGATACGAAATAATTAAATTTGAATCAAAGATTCAACTCGATTATGTATACGGGTTGACACGAACCCGGCACGATAATAAACGAATTAGATTAAGATTGAGCACTCAGTTCAAATCCAACACAACAATCTGATTATAATATATTAATATTAATTAATATATTTATTATATTATGTAAAATAGTTAGTATAATTTAACAATTTGCTTATAAATTAATTTAAACTAAATTCAATTTTAAATAATTTAACCTAATTCATTGTACATATTACTCTCAAACCAATAAAAACTAGCATAACAAATTATAATTTAAATTGAATAAAAAATTTCAAATTAATTTTGTATACCCGAGTCAACCCAACCCAACATGATAATAAACGGATCAACACAAATCCAACACAAACGGATCAAATTAGAATTAAATAATTTAACCCATTTAAAATATTCAACCCGACACGAACCCTCGACATGAATCGACTCATTGCCAGCTCTACCTCCTATAACCTAACCTAAACGTGTTTAATAAATAGGAACCTACCAATATCATACTCCAAACTTCTTACACTTTTCTCTTACAAGGAAATTCATTACATCCAAACCAAATTAAGAAAAAAAGAAAAAAAAAAGCTAACAATATTTCTTCACTAAAACTCACTTCATCGACTACATTCATGTCTTCCTCTATTATATTCCGCAACTCAATTCTCTTCGAATCAAACGCACCCCAAATGTCTTCGCCCAGGGAAACTAATTACACATTTTTATCACTCACTTACACTTGAGAACCAAACAAGAATCTTATGGTTGAGAATATAGATCCCCATCTAAGAAAGAAGAATAAAGCTAAAATCATAGTCATCAAGAAACATCATCAGAATCCAAGTATGAATTCGCTCGCTACAAATCTAAGATCACTTCTCATATGAGCTATAATGGTCAGCAAGAAGAAAATATATGGTTCAAGCAAGAGGCATAGAAGTAACAAGGAAGGCTCCATCAGAGCTATAAATTTACAATACAACAGAGAGAGAGAGAGAGAGAGAGAGGTGCGCGCACCATTATCGCAACAAAAACATAGAAAGATATACAACAAATTGTCTACTGGTGAGATTGGCCGTGTGGCGGAGGGCCAGGAGGCAGTGGGGGAGGAACTCCTGATGGAAGATTATAATTTGATTGCATTCCAGGTGCATTCGGATTCCCAGACTGCACCATTAGTACATAACGTAGAGTAAACAACAAAGCCAAAATAAAAGGGTTGAAAGATATTATTAATAGACAGCACATATATCCAAAAGTATCTATCAACAAATCAGGTGGATCCATTACACTGCTAAATCATATCAATTGTAATTAAATAGCATATAAGGAAAAATTGTACCACAGAGCTACTTGGACATGTGTAATCATCGATGCTTGCTAGTGTATGTTTACTTCGAACATATGTGAAATACACAACTAAAAATTAAGGAAGTCCTAGCTGTGAATCGTCAAAACCTATCTATGAACATTATACAACTTAGAACCAAGTTAACAAACCAATGACAACATCAGTGAACAACAACAAAAGGAACAAGCAAAATGTAAATCTAGAAAAACATCTATTTAGTTGAATTAATAGAATGATTTACCGCTATTTCAATCTTTTCAAGGAGCTACTGCATAAGTTCTCACCTGGTAAGGGTTAATTCCTGGCATCATAGGCATCTGCCCACCTTGTGGCCTGTTGAAGCCACCTCCTGGTTGAAACATTTGATTTCCACTCGGATTAGATTGGCCCTGCATATTCGGCAATCCATTTGCCATCCCCATGAAGTGACCTTGGGGCATTGGATTCATACCACCCTGCATCCCCTAAACAGGAGGAGTTGCCAATTAGGCTAGTCCAATACTATTACATAGCAAAAGCACATCATTAATTAAGTCATTTTCTCACCATTGGACCAGGCATTTGACCAGGGCGCATTGATGCATTGGGCAGGGATCCTGGCATTGAAGATGGTGCATTGGGAGACATGTTAAGCTGTTGTAGCTGGGGTGGCGGTCGAGGTAAATGAGGATGCTGCAACATGGGCATATGGGGAGGTTGCATTTGGGGTAAATTTGGCGGTGGCATCGGCATAGAGGAAATTTGCTGTGGTAGTTGATGCTGTTGGACGGGTGGAGCATTTTGTTGGTACGGTTGCTGTTGGTTGCCCGCAAGAAGAGATGGATGTGGACCAGGTGGCAAAGGAGGAGCTCCTGAAGGCATGGAAATTGACATAGGTGGCTTCTGCTCACCTTGAGCACCTGAATCGATAGATGGCACAGATAGGGGCATGGCTGCTCCTATCCCAGGAATCGTTCCTTCATTCCGAGCCAACCCAACTCCAAATGGTCCAGGATTTGTGGGGGCATCAGCTGCTGGGAAAGGAGCAGGAAGGCGGCCCCCCATAGCAACATTCTGCTCGACAAAACCTGCTAGACAAATTTTACTATCAAATTCTGAAGCATAGAACAACAAAGCAGCATCAGTGTCTATGTTAATGGCTGTAGTTCTTCATAGCCTCAAGTAATAACATTTGCGATCTCCAAAACGAGCAGGTGTAGATGCAATTACTGATCCATTAACCACATATTTAAAAAATAAAAATGAAAAAGAAAAGATCAGGGAAACCTTGGTTTGACCCCCCCATGTTAAATTTGTCACGAGCTGGTTCCCCAGGCCTATTTCTGCTCCAAAATTTCGTTGCATGATCATTTCCACCACTGCACAAGAAGCAACCTTGTTAAGAGGCAAATTATTTTTAAACAACAACGATGTGTAGTCACAACCAAAATGCCAGAGAAATAAACTTCTATGTTTGAGAAGAAGTGTTACTGAAGTGGTACCAAGGAACATGGTAGCACATAGCCAATTTAACTTCAAAATGAAAAATTACCAAACAGTTACTAATTCTTGACTAAGTCAACTATCTAAGTACCAATATAGCATGCCATAAGCTTTTTCCCTGAAGATCAAAATTGAACCACAACATTGATGATTTAACTTCTGAAGGATTTAATCAAACTTATATGTGAATGAACTTCAGCTGATGATTCACAAAATTTGATAGGATTATTCAGGCTCTCAAGGATCCACTTCAAAATCTCGATCACCCAGCACACTTCTCATAGTAGTTGTAGATTACAAATGCTAAGATAAGCTCTCAAGAGTAAATAGTCAAAATGCAGTCCTTAATGATTTTTCTTGCAGTTGGAAAAAGAAAGATTTAAAAGACGAGCAATCATTCACGATCTCATATTGGTTAAGGTTACTGCAACAATGGTAACATATTGATGTGGCTACATAATAGATAGAGGTGACAGGTTTGAAATATTATCAATATTATGAAACTAAAAAGTTCACTTGGTAAATTATGGATAGCCAGATTCATAACAATGGAGAGGATCTCAAGTGATTTGACAATAAATGACAGTATAAACAGTGGAACTCTAAAGAGACTCAAAATGGTTAAAGCAAATACCTTCCATGATCTTATTATATTTAATCGATCATAATTAATCTCACAATCAAAATAAAACATATGACCTATATTAGAATCTCAGTCTCCATCATACCACACTCAAAACATTTTTACCCCACCAAAAAGACAGCTAACTATTTATAAAATCGCTATGGATAAACCAGACCTGCAAAGAAGATATCCTATTGGATGCCATGCAAGGTCCCAAACACTGTTATCATGCGCATTAGGAATCTCAACCTGAGGGGTCTCATCTCTGCACAGAGAAAAGTAGAGTCGTACACATCAACCATGACTATTCTGCTATCTTGTACACTGCCCAAAGACTAAATTCCTCCAATACATACTCAATATTATAATGTAGTTCTTGTTCCTTAAAAGGAAGAGAAAAGGGTTTCAAAAGTTGAAATCAAGCAAAAGAACATCACCACTGCTATATTTTAACCTAATAAGCTGGAAAAAAAAAAGAAAAAAAAAACTCGGAAAATGCACATCAACTTCGGCAAAGGGACCGGGTGAAGAAACCGATGAAATTTTTGCAGTCTATGTTTTTCTTATCAATGTGAAGTGTTGCAATTTGATATAAAGGCTCTAATGGTATGAATCTCAAGACATAATCGTAACTACTTTTTCCATTTTCAAAGACAAATGTAAAAATAGCTCATGCTTCCTTCTAAAAGATTGAATAGAATGTGTAGCCACTGAGGCATGGCCATGTGGCCTTCAACAGACTTAGGGCAACTATATAGAACTGACAGCTACTTCAATAAGGCAAAGAATTTACCCAACTAGCCAATGGAAAATTGCTCCATCAGAACTCCCACTGACAAAGTATTCTTCATGGAATGGATGCCAAGCCAACGCTACACAAAAAATATAAAAACAACATCAATATATTATACGATGTATGGATGAATGGATAAACAAAATCCTTAAATGCTTCAGACTGTAAGAAAAATTGTGAAGTCAGTGAAAGCAAAACGTAAATTAGTTTGAAAGGGCAACATAATGACACCTTATTGACTATAAGCAAAGATAATAGACAGTTATAAATACTGTGCAGCCCATAATCCTGAGGAAATATTTCTCCTAAACATAAATCCAAGCCTGTTACATCACAGACACCCACAAATCCTGGCTTCCAGTTGGTAGTGGGATCTTCCATTCTCATGCTAATGTTTGATACTCCTCCGACTCCAAAAATTGTGCTCATACATTTCGGGACGGGTTTTAATGTGGGGTGTACATTTGGTTACTTTTAGCTTTTTATAGTAAAAAAGTACAAAAAGTATATAATTTTTTACTAAATAAGAAAATAAGAATAATTTCAGATGACGGATAAAAAAGAAAAGCGAAAGCACTTATAAGAGACAAGAGTACAAATTAGTGACAATTCCTTTGGAAATCACTATTCCCAAAAATAAGGGAATGGTTGTCTTTTCCCCTTAGAACATATGCAGTAGTACCCTTTTAGATGGCCACCGTTTTTATTTTGAGGCTTTTCAGTCGCAGCCAAATAAAAAACAGATGCAATAAGCAAGATTTCCAAGCCAAAAAGTCGATGCACCGTTGATTGTTTTTCTTTCTTCAGTCTTGTTCAAGTGTTTTAAAATACACGGTAAATAATTATCACTGTATAACTTTTTCCTTCTGACCATATTTACAATTTTACACCTTGACATGTCATAGCCGTACACTGAATTGAGGTTTTTTTCGTGTGGCCTATTGTTGTTGCTCTTAACATGAGTTACTTAATCCCATCACTTATGAGCAGTTTAAATATAAATATAATGATTATTTTATTTTATTATTAAATACAAAATATTAAACATAAGAATATGTTTGTACAATATACTAAAATATTATATATATATATAATTTATCATCAGACAATTATTTCATTTCTTTTTATTGCTCCTTTGCAAACCAGCCATTAGAGTAAATTCATAGAAACATTAAATTCAAACTTACATTTCATTCTTCACTAAGTTCACTTCATTCCTACATATGGGTTCATAACAGTAGTGTGGCCATTTACAGAACTCAAAAATCAATATATAAAAATCAAATTATATATAAATTTAATATTCATGACTAAACAATATAACAAGCAGCATTCAATGTCACGTAACAAAGCTCAAATCCAAATAATGCCTTAATAATTTGTAGACATACAGAGCCTTTTGAAACTAAATGGGTATCAGGTAATTGGGTATTAACTAAATAATAGATGATCGTGAAGTGGATCAATAAATAAAATATAAAAGTTTTATACCAGTAACATCCTTCTTGTGCCCACGAAAAACTTCAAGTTCTTTCATTGCCCTTATATCATATAGCTGTAAACCAAGAGAAACCATTACTCTTAGGAAGTAATAAGTAAGGGCAATCCAATTTATTATCATTGATTATAGTTCCTGTCAAACAGTTCAGCGTGGAAAAAGAAAAGTTAGACTAAACGAGATGTATGAACAAAGAAACCCTACCTTGATAATCTGATCTTTTGAAGCTGTTAAAACCCAGTTACCATTTTGATTCCACTTTACACAAAGAACTGTGTTCTTGTGGCCATGACTGCAAATGATAAATGCTGGTCAATTAGATTCAGATCATAAGAAGATTAAAATAATAATAATAATAATAATAATAATAACAACAACAACAACAACAAAAACAACAACAACGATAATAATAATAATAATAAATTGCTTTCAAGTTATAGCTAGATATGTAAAGGATTGAACGGCTAGAACTCACAAAGAACAAAGTTCTTTCCCTGACTTGGCATCCCATAACTTGACGAGATTGTCTTTACCACCTATAAAAGACCATTAAATGGATATTATATGGCTTTCATAAAGTACTATATCTACTATGCCTGGGAAAATAAAGCACTCACCGGAGACCAACAATGACTTGGTAGGATGCCAATCAATACACTTTACATCCCAACCATGGCCTGCCTGAGTTCAAAGGGCACAAGAACAGTTCTTAGGTTAACTTGCAAAAAAACTCTTGGTCAAGAGGGCACCCTTCGATTTCAACGACGAATGTTTGAAGGCTTTCAACATCTATTCAATATGTCTATGGGGGAAAGATCGTTCAAAAAGAATAAAACAAAATTTTCGTTTATTAAGAATGAACAAGGGGCATAGCATTAGCTTCGATTTCACAAGCTTACCCTCCAGAATAAATGTCTTGGATCAAGAATATGTAAACTGAACATTTTAATATGCTTTTGATAATACTTTTAAAAAAAAGAAAGAAAAAAAGAAAAGGGAAATTAAGGGTGTGTTCTTTAAGGTTTGGATATGGGTTTGGGGTTAGAAATAGTAGAAATTTAAATTGAAGTAGTGTATGATGTGATATAAATAGGTGTTTGATGTGATGTTTTGAATGAAAAAGAAACATATTTTGGTAATAAATAAATAAATAAAATAGGTGTTTGATTTGATGGTTCAGTATACACAAATGTTGCATTTAGTTGGAAAGTAACACAAAAGCGCCAAAGGTGGGAAAGGAGTTTTTTAAAACAGAAAAAGCATTTAGACTTTTGAAAGTAAGCATTCTTTATTCATACAGCTATGCTTCTTGATGGAAAAAATACCTACAACAACATGGTTTCTAAGGGCGTTCCCATTTCTTCCCCTAGTAAGAAATCAGGTGGTATGGATTGTGACAGCCAGCTTAAACTAAGAAAAGAGAGCTTCAAAAAATAAAACAATGTGGGTCTGAAATTGGAGAGGAATTTATCACTTGGCTCTAAAGATTTTGAGAATTCATCTAAGTGCTCCAGGCATGCACACTAAGTGTCTTCAGTCAGGTATGTGCATTGGTTTTTGGACTCGTTTTATATCCTTTGCAACTCCAACCCAGATTTCATATAATATAACCCCTTTAATTTCCAATACAATAATAATGATATTAACTTGAGAACATTACCAGATAATGACCGCTCATCTTGGCATCTAGCAAAGTCCCAAACTTTAACTGTTGTATCATCAGAACAGGAGCAGAACTTTAAGTCTGTCCTAGAAAAACTGGTTAGACAGATAGCATAAAAGTTAAAATAGTGCCAAGTATAAAAAGAAAAGAAAGAATTAACACAACTAAAGAGTGAGGAATTTATTGTCTAACACACATGTGAAACACATAATCTATAAGATTTTATGTACACAATTACCTATAGATGATCATTGTAGGAGCAAAATAAAAACCATCCCAAGATACACAAAAAGTAGGTGGTTTGAAGCTTTGAGCAAGGCATCATACCTTAAGCCGCGGACTGACTCCTTATGAGCAGTTTTATTCACTTTAACGTTGTTCATATTATTTTGCCAGTACCTGCAATGAGGTAAACCCAGAAAATCAGTGGTCAACTGAACTACTGACAAAAAAACTCAATATCATATTGTGAAACGAGGAATTACTTACTTTATGGCACCACCGTCATCTCCAGTGACCATCCAGTTCTCATTGTAACTCCATATCATAGATCTAACTGCTTGTTCATGAGCCTGAACATAAATAGTTCTAGTGATCTCTTCTTGTTTCCTAAACATTATGAAAGAGTGTAAATTCAAATTACCTGCAGAATCATTTCAAAGTTAAAGGACTGCCCATTCCACAGTGTGAATTCGCCACTATGAGATCCAGTAATAAGTCGTCTCCCACTAGGAGTCCACTGTCAACAAAGTTGAACACAAACACATGAAAAGATGCAGTTTGTCAGTTCATAATTTCTAAAGAATCTGAAATTTTGTACCTCCCAAATGAATGATAATTAATAGTAACCATGTTAGAAATTTTGCTAAGAATATAATATATACAAAACTTTTGTTTCTACCATAACTTAATGTTTATTATATTTATGACGAATTTAGGTTCCTGATAGAATTCTAATCAACTTCCTAATTGATTCACATTGAATCATAAAGGGTTTGTTTACTTGTGTATGTGTGTGTGTGTGTTTTCCTTTCCTTCATTATTTAATCTCCCAATTTTCCGCCAAAGAAGCACTTCCAGCATATTCATTTTCCACTCAAAACATCATATCCAACCACTATTTCACTTCAAAACCCAAAAGCACACTCATACACAAGTAAACGAACCCAAAGAGTCTTCTTTATTAGTATTACAAGCCTTATATGCCAATAATTGCACTCAATGAGTTAATACTATATTTATTACAGAATACTATCTCTTAAAATTTAGCACATGGAAGATTTCCTTTACTGAGCCTTAGCTCACTCATGTTATGGCGCAAGGTGCTTCAGCTTTCAAGTAATTGGAAAGTTGTGGACCACACACGGCAGGGAGTGCAATAACACCCTGCATGGCAATCTAATGGTTTGATCACATACAGCTCCAGTTCTAACACTAGTTGAGGTTTCACATAACATTTCATTGCATGCATGGTGTGACTCTTGGCTCAGCCATATGATGTGCCATGAAAACAAATTGAGTTCGAAAACATATATATATATATATATTTAGATCAGCTTCACTAGTGTTTTGCAGCAAAACAAGATCAGATGACTAATTTTCTAGTTTTTTATTCTTTTCCAGAAAAAGGCTGTAGTTAGATTACAATTTTGAATTCCTTCTAAAGGTTTTGCACCGCCTCCACACGTACACTTCTATCAGACTCCGGTTTGAAGAACATTTCTTCACTTTACGCACATTTGTGCATAGTTAGCGTAATGCACCAATACACAGCATATCAATCAAACCACTTTTCATAACATCATTCCGTCCTCTCAAATTGATAGACCATCAATTGCGCAAATCAGACCAGTGCCAGAATACTACACCTTCCGCATGACAAGAACTACTGCCTGACACTAGTAGCCAAAAAGCTAAAACTAAAACCAATGTCACTCACAGAAATCCTGGGCCTAAACTCCCATGTCATGCTGCAGTGCACTACTGCTACAATTCTGCATCAGTGTTGTAATGCAGAGTAGTTGTTTTCTCTTGTTGGTGATAGCTGCTTGTTTCCAAGCTATGTATTTAGTTATTATCAAATCTTGACTTGGTGGATTTGGAACATCCTATCACGAAATTTTGTACTTACTGTATGAATTCATGCCAAAACGCTCCAACAAGACTATCCGTCAGTTCATCTGTACTTAACCTCCATCACAACTACAAGTGATGCTAAATATTATCTCTGATTACTGTTAGTTGTAAGAGAACATAATCTACTAAACATCTCTTCTTAAGGAGAATCAATGAAGGCATAAAATATAAGGGAATTGCAAACCCTTCAAAGAATTAACAGAAAGAAGGAATCAAATTTCAAAACAAAAAGAAAAAGGTTATCTAAGGGGAAAATGTGCTCTGAAGCAGGAAGCAAATTTGAAACCAATCCGCTAAATTTAATTACAATTATTGTTAGTTGTAAGGCACACATGAAATTCTCTTCATAAATACATAAAAGAGACATGAATTGGATGGGTAACTCTACAGGGAAAAAGTGCTCTGAATACTTGCATCTTTGGGCCATAAAGATCAACAACCCGTAGAAAAGAACTACCTATACTACAGATTAAGAAACTATGGGATGGGCTCTGTGTAGCATTTACAGAATCTCAATAATAGAGTAACAAATGAGGGAGACTATTGACAACTCACCACAACCCGATTAATTGAACATCGGTTTTTATTCAATGATGTATGTACAAACTTCGCAGCAAAACTGGTGGAAGGATTGTCTAAGTAGGCAACTGTAGGCAACATCTGTGTCAATGATAAAAGAATATAAACACGTAACATCAGAAATCAGATGAAACTTGAAAGAGGGTGGAAGGAACATCTTTTTATTATATTATAGCTTAATCAAAGAAAAATCCAATGTTTAAAGAGTTTCAGCGAATGGATTTTTTTTTTTTTTTTTTTTTTTGTAATGAAGCTACTATTATATATATTTAAAAAAAAAAAAAAAAAGAGGGTGGGAGTAGAATACAATCTGAGGAGCATAGGAGCTCCAAATATGATGTGTAATTGTAACATTATCAAGAAGGTGAGTATGAGGATAGTAGCATACATCAATGGCTGCTGCTGGAGTTGGTTGCAGTACTGTCCTATCTCTTGAATCTCGCTGAAGCATGCGAACCTTCCAAACAACAGAAAAGATAAGCTTCAAATACTCAATGATTTAAAAAAGAAATATAATTGAACTAGGTCCGTCAAACAACAATAGTTTAACAATTAAATAAATAATACAATGGCTATCCCAATAAGCAAAATCTCTAAGTATAGGGTTTCTATGGCACACATTATCCTTATTTGACCACAAACAGCATAAGCGTAGAGTGTAATGCTATGAAAAACTCATTGATCAATAATTTCCAGCCAGATATCATCTCAATTCGCACATGAACATATCGGTCCAACATCAATCTTCAACTAAAGATGCTTCTCTCCTATCCATACCAAATGGGTCTAAAAACTGGGCTATTAAAACAGCCAACCCTTGTAGATCAAATGGTGAGGGATGAGTGTGTTTTTTGCCATTGAGGTAAGCTCGTCTTCCCCATCTTGATGGAACCTCGTGTGAGGACTAGGTCTCAAGTTCGATCCCAGGTGGGTGCGTGTATTGTGTAAGTGTGGGGGATAAAAAAATCTGGGCTAATAAAACGCATTGTCAAAATCAACTATCCATGAGGGCTTGACTCTGGCACTAAAAGCCAACAAATAAATCAAAGCTCCATTCAAGCTGCCTATATGGAAGTACTTATTACTTAATGCACACATGGCTGACCTTTAAGTACTGTCATCTCAAATCAGCTCACCAAAGGGCAGGATAATAATAAAAAGGTAAAAACATGATTTGCTCAGGGGAATTAAACACACAAATAGTATCATTAGTTTTTAAAGGCCGGAAACCAGAAAAACACTCTAGTGTCATAAGAGTCACAAATAATTATAAACTTGGGATTCCACCATTCTGACATATAAATAGCCAATCCAAACCTAAAGGAGCCGTGATTATTAATCATTTACAAGTTGCCAACTTGCCACAATAAAACAACAGCATCTATCTATCTATTACAAGGGCATGCGACTATAAATATAATAGAACAATACTTGTAAGCAAACACCACCTGCATATATCGTACAACAGTACTTGTGTAGTCAACCGCACGTCTTTGTCCAATTTTCCTCATTCTTTTTGCAGCAAAACTGTCTCCATGAGCTGCAATACGTAGAAACTTTTCTATGATCAACAAAAAGAGACATTTCTATGAAAATAAAAATTCATTCTTCCGAAATTTTAACATTTCCATTCTAGCTGCAATATATGAATCAGTTATTTCAATGACCAATAAACGCCTCTAGAGAATACTAAGAAATAGCAACTCATATAAATAAATATCATCCAGCGAACAAGAGGTTAATCAAACAGACACATTACGAAGCTACTTGATTATAAAATGAAATTGTGAAGATATTTTCAATAGAAGCGAGAAACCGATCTGAGCTAGTACAGGTTTTCAAAAGAAAAACAGTATCCCCGTGCTATCGCTGGAATACATGTGTGTGTGAAATAATACTCACAACCGAACATTAAAGACAATCCACATTGAGAATGGGTTTAGGCGCATAAAGAAAATGTGTGACAAGAAACAATAAACAAGCAGGAATAACTGCCTTCCCTACCATCGTATGGGGGTGGCTGCCCGGGGAAAGGAGACTGAACAGGCTGTTGCTGCTGGTGGTGGTGAAAATCAGGTGGAGGATTAACGTTAGTGGAGGAAGCGGCGGAGGGCTGCCGCATTATCTGCGGAGGTGGGGGACCCGACGGGGGGTGCGGTCCCCGAGGAAAGTCGTGTGGCGGTTGCTGGTGGTGGAACTGGTGGGGATTCTGGTGCTGCTGCGGTGGCGGAGGCAATGGTGGCCCCGGCGGCGGTCGCTGGTGCTGAGGCTCTCCGCCGTACATCATGGATGAGCGAGAGGAGTGCGGGAGGATCCGGCGATTAGGGTTTTAAGGTTTTGGGGATTTTGCGGTGTTACAAATCAAGTTGCAACGAAAAGTCATTTATTTATGTGCGTTTAGAGCATTTACTACCTAATGAGTTTTTATTTATTATAACGAGGCCGTTTTGTTTTTTAACCAAAATTTTTAAATATATTTTTTTAAAAAATGTTAATATATTACATATTTATTATTTATATATTATTTGTATTAATTTTTATACTTTAAATAAAAAAATATTCTTTCAAATTAAAATACCAAACAAATACACTTTTATTATCTCACTTATATTATTTTTATAAAAAAATCATTATCTTTATAAAAATAATAAAAAAATAATTATTTAATTAATTATAAACTAAAATGTAAAATTTAATATTTTATAAAATCGAATTTATTAATAATTTATTTATATAAATACAAATTTAAATTTATTTCAAAAGTTCAAAGGCTTGTTTATATATTTTTCAAGTCATTTTATTTATATATCCAATTTTAATATTTGATTTTTTTTTAAATTTTATATTCAATCTCTTTTTTCAATTAATTTTTTAAAAAAACTATTGAAAACAAAAAATTATTATGTCAATATATTAATTCAAATTTATTTTAACTATTCAAATTTCCAAATGCCTCTTATTCAACAAATTCGAATAATTTTAATATTTTATAACATAAAAAAAGAATTTATATAATCTCTTTATAATTCATATAAATTAATATTTATATTAAAATATAATATTATATAATAATAATACTTCATCGGTCTCGGTCAATTAAACATTTTCATTAATAATACAATATTTAAAATAATAATATTAATTAATTAATAATAATAAATTATGATATTATTTTATTATTTGTTATATTATTAATAACATTAGTAGTTCTAAAATAAATTTGGTGTGTTTGTTTGAAGGATTTTGGTGGACTTCTACTATTCATTCCAATTTTTTCCTTAAAAAATATCAAATCAAACACTTATTTTTTATTTTTTATATTATACTTAAAAATTAATTTTACATTTAAAACATTACATCAACACTTATTTATATTACATCATACAACTATTCAAATTCAAAATTTTTACTATTCAAATTCCAACTCAAAATCCAAACCCCAAACAAACACACAGATACTATATAGTTTTAAAAAATTAGAATTGTATTTAAATTTTTAAAAATTATATTGGAAATAAAAATATATATATATATGTAATATAAATAGTATTTAATATAGAATAAAATTTTGTAAATAAAACTGTCAAAACGAGTTGACTAGGCAGATTAGCCCACAATTTACCGTAACCCACAAATTAACGGATTATTTGCGGATCAATTCGCAACGGAACGGACTAAGATTTAGGCAATCCAATTCAAATCACTGGCAGATGGCTAGCCAAGCGGACCAACCACGGACTCTTAAAAAATATTATTTTTTTATTTAATTAATATAAAAATTTGTTAGTACTGTATTTTAGAGCTTAAATAATATATATTTAAAAATAAATATATAACATAAATTAATTCAAAATTTTAAATATTATTAGTCGTTATTTCTTTAAAAATAAGTTTTAATTGAAAATATTTATACAATAAATAGGTGTTATTCTAATAGATCTTTCAATAATTTTTTTTTTTTAAAAAAAAGACAATAAAAAATAATAAAACAAACGGAGAAATTTTAAAATAAAAAAAACAACAATATCGTCAAAATAGTTATAAACGATAGTTACATGACAGACAATATATATTGGTTAATTAGCTTAACATTGGTTAATTAGCTTAACGCAATATGAAAGTTTTAATAAATTAATTATTTGGTCTAACTTATTATAAAATATTTGTAAAAATTATCCTAAAATATAATATTTCATCAATCTCATATATATATATATATTTACCTTGGCTAGCATTCAAAATTGGTGTCCATCAGTCGAGATGAGGATTCTGAATCACAAAGAAAAAAAAAAAAAAAAAACACTCTTGCATCACTCAGACCACGAATAAACCCTTCAAAAGGGTTTGAACCCTTCACGAGTTTAAAATAATTTTACTGGATAACTATTTATTGTGACCTGAAAAAATAGGATAATATCTTTTCGGATACTTTGTATTAATGCTATCATATACCATATTTCCTTCTTGATCCATAATAATAAATGCTCCATTTCCGATTTTCTTGCAAACCACGAAAGGTCCCTCCCAATTAGAAGACTATTTTTCTAGTTGATCAACCTTCTTGTAAGTTGGCAAAATAGTTTTCCAAACCAGATCTCATTTTTTAAAAGTCTTGTAAAAAGTTCTTTCATCATAGTGTATGGTCTGCACCTCGCTTTGTTTGACCATTAGATCGATCGCCTTCAAACAAATAACCCTCAGATCCTCCAACTGCTGCATCATACCTTGTTGACATTCCTCGTCAAAGTCTCACGTGGTGTTAGCAGTACGAATAGATGGTACATGAAGCTCGACTGGTAACATTGCATCTTATCCAAACGTAAGCTGATATGACGAAAATCCTGTGGCTAAACTTCTGCTATTAAGAGGTGCCCAGAGAGCCTGAGGCAACAACATATGACATTTTCTTAAATTTTTACCAATCATCTTCTTAATAATACCAATAATATTTTTATTGGCTACTTCTACATGACCATTAGCTTGTGGATAATAGGGGATGAATGATGCAGTCGATTATTAAAACCAACCAAAAATTCGACGAACTTCTCCCCAGTAAAATCTAAACCCTGATCTATAATAATAGTATGCGGAACTCTAAATCGGTAAATAATTTGATTTAAAACAAAATTAATTACCTTTTTTGTGTTGGATTCTTCAAATGGATAGCTTCAACCCATGTGGTGAAATAATATGCCGCGATTAGAATGAAACAGTGATGCTTCAAATAAGCCGAATGGATCTTACCGATAAAATCCATTGCCTAAGCTTTGAATGGTCATTGTTTGACCGAAGTTTGGAGGTCCATAGCCGGCAGATGATTTAACGGCCCATACATTTGATATTTTTGACATTATTTAGCAAACTTAATACAATTCTCAAATATTTTCAGTCAAAAGAATCTAGGCGATGAATGACCCACCTTATATTTAAACTCGCTCTATAGGCCCTGCACATCCCGCTATGAACTTCCTGCATCACCTCCAGTGACTCTCCTGACCCCAAACATCTCAATAACAAACCTTCGAAGGTCCTCTTGTATAGGAATCATTCAACGAGCTGAAATCGTCATGTCTTTAACCGAACACCCACGGGTGCAACCGAACTAGGCTCTTTTAGATATGCAATGATAGCCGTCCTCCAGTCGGCCATGACCGGCGCCTATGTTACAAACAGCCGCACTTAAAATCAGTCTACAAGCACCTTGAGCCAAGTCATCCGCGTGACGATTTTCCATCCTCGAAATATGTTCAAAACTGACTTCTAGAATTCTTGACAACAATCAAGACACCAAAGCTCTATATCTTCGTAAATGAGGGAAATTGCACGCATATCGTCTTGTTACGTGATTGATCACCAATTGTGAATCCCCTTGAATCACAATTGACTGGACTTTTTTCCCAGTGAAAGCCTCAAGCTCCAGAATCAGAGAATCATATTAAGTCGAATTATGAGTCATTGCTTCCAACTGCAGTTGCAATTTAACCTTTTGGCCGTCAAGCCCTTTCAGAATTCCACCCGTTCCCGATCTTTCTCCTGAACTTGATCCATAAAAAAACATATTCCAAGTCTGAGTACTCATGTATGACGTAGGCCTCACACCCCCTTGTTCTCAGCAAATTCCATCAGAAGATCAACAACTGTTTGTCCCTTCATGACCTTCAGAGATTTTTATTTCAATGAAACTAGAGCTAACTTAATGACCCATTTCATTAATCTTCCTTGCATGGTGGGTCTATGCAGATCAATTTCGTTAGATCTACCTTGGATACGACTTTCGTTTCTCTGGGGATGATGTAATATTCCAGTTTGGTACATGCAAATACCAATGAGTAACTATCTTCTCTAGCATAGTGTAATTCAACTCAGGCCCAACCAACGTCTTCCTCAAATAATAAATCGCTCTCTCTTTTCCATATTTCCAATCATGTGCTAGCAAAGAACTTACCACATCATGAGTATTTGACAAGTACAACTTAAGAGGTCGGACCCCATTTGGATGCATCAAGACAGGCGGTTCAGCCAAAGCCATTTTGATGGCTTCCAAAGCCTCTTATTGTTCGGCTCCCCAGACAAAGTCTGATGCTTTTTCCATAACAATTTTGTAATTGGCGTTAGTGATGAACCTTCGCAAATAATTTACCTTCCCAAGTAGACTTTGAACCTCTTTAACCAACTTGGGGGGATGGATCGTCAGAATCGCCTTAGCCTTGTTTGCATCGATCTTTATCCCCCTTTCATGCACTAGAAAACCCATAAAGTTTCATGCGGGTACTTCAAAAGCACACTTAGTCGGGTTCATCTTTAAGTTGTATTTCCTTATCTGTTGAAATGCCGACTTCAAATCAACTAAATGACTCTCGAAATTATCTAACTTGACAACCACATCATCAATATAAACCTCCATGGACTCACCAATCAAATCATGAAAAACGGTGTTCATCGCCCTTTGATATGTAGCTCTGCATTTTTAACTCAAAAGGCATTGTTGTCCATTTGTAAATCCCCAACGCCTCAGGACATCTGAAAATTGTTTTAAGAATGTCTTCTTCCGCAAGGAAGATTTGATTATAACCAACGTATCCATTCATATGAGTAAGAATCTGATGCCCAATAGCTAAGTCTATCAGCATGTCGGCCACGGGCATTACATACTCATCCTTAGGCTTTGCCGAATTGAGATTGCGAAAATTAATACAGATTATAATCTTCTCATTCTTCTTTGTTACCGGAAAAATATTTCAGCCATTCAGCATATTGACACGGCCGAGTGAACCCAACTTTTATGAGTTTTTCAATCTCTTCCTTAATTTGTGGCATCAATTCGGGACTGATTTGTCGGGGCGGCTGCTTGCATAGCCTAAAACTGGCTTTGATAGG